TGGCGAAGGAGGACAGCAGTGGCTCGAGGGCGGATACCAGCAGCCGTACCTCTCTCTCAATTTGTCTTCGCTCTCCGTCGCCTCGCCGAACAACCTGAGCCCGATCGGCAACGCGTCGACGGCAACGTCGGGCATGAGCCCAGTAACGCCCATCTCCCCGGCACAGACTCCCTTTGCGCACCAGTACATGTCCTACCCGCCGCCGCAACCGCCCCAGGCTTCGCTTCAGGACGACCGCTCTCGCTCGTCATCAATCTCTGAAAAATCGTCGGTACCCCGCAAGCGGTCTTTCTCGGCGGCCACGCCCCTCGCGCCACCTCCGCCCCAGGCGTACGCAGACGAGGTCGACATGAACGGCAGCCCCATCGACGGTTCGGACAGTGGCCAGGATGATCACATGCGCGGTGTGGTGGAGCCGACGCCGCCCCCGTCGTCGCACTCGCTGCAGTCTTCTTCGATGGGCGTCATCGGCAGCAAGCCCATGACCACGAACAACTTTGTAACAAAGTTGTACCAGTACGTATGCCCGCATGCTGCGCCGTGCCGTATACTGACATGCATCCCTCGCGCAGGATGATCAACGACCCAAAATCCGCGCATTTTATCGCATGGACAGAGCTCGGGACGAGGTATGCATTCCGTTCCTTGACGTCTTCCCTGCTAGAGCGTTTTCCCCTTCCAGCTTCGTCGTTTCCAACGTGGGCGAGTTCAGTCGGAGCATCCTGGGCTCGCACTTCAAGCACAACAACGTACGCGCCTCTCGCCTGCCCTTGAACGCGCGCGTCAATTGAGCTTACCGCGCGCTTCCTTCCTTCTCCGCAGTTCTCGAGCTTCGTCCGGCAGCTGAACATGTATGGCTTCCACAAAATCAACCGCGTGAGTGCACCCTCCCAATCCGGCCGTGATCTTGATTGTGCACCTAGCTATTGCGGCATCCCGCATGCTTATGTTTATCCCCTTTCGCTGACTTATACTACTTCTGCCACTCGCGTTGCGCCCTTTGATTTCCTGTTTCTGACCGCGAACTATGCAGACGCCCCGCGCGCAGCGCACGAGCACCGACGCCCAGACGTGGGAGTTCAGCCACCACAAATTCCTCCGGGGACGCCCAGACCTGCTGGACGAGATCAAGCGCAAGGCGCTCGAGCCTGACCCGAGCGTCAAGCACCGCGTCGAGCTTCCCGGCGAGGTTCAGTCCCAGCTCAACCAGATGCGCGACGAGAACCGTCGCGTGGCTGCTCAGCTCAACGCAGAGCGTGCCAAAGTCGACCGTCTCGCAGCGCTCACAAAGTCGCTGTACGAGGTCGTCGACAAGAACTTCCCTGGCTGGCGTGAGTGTCCATCTGGCTCTAATCTTCGATACCATATCCCCCCTTTCGTTCCCGCCTTCTCTTCTCGTTGGCTCCACGTCGATGCCATTGCCACAGCGTCTACCTCCCCCTGCTTCTACCGTTCCCATCACGCGGTCACTTCTAAAGCCGCGCGAGAAATGCCGTGTTCCTTGACGTCAAACCGCACCGATACACTTTGACTGATACTGACCGGTCCCTGCACAGTGCCGACACCTTTCCCTGCCGACCTCGTCGACAATGGCCCGGATCCGTCACATAGCCCGAACATCTACGTCTCGGCGCCGTCAATGTCGCTTCAGCACCCGTCGTTCCCGACTCCGCTGTCCTCAGCGCCATCTCTCGCACCGAGCCTGCATTCGCTCTCGCCTGCATCGAGCCCAACGACCGCGGACTTCCACGGGCATCATCTGCAGCATCAACATCAACATCAGCAGTATCCAACCTTGTCTCGCCAGCCGAGTTTCACCGGACCCGGAGGGTACGACGACTTCAGTGGCGCTAAGAGGCAAAGGACGCAACCGCCGCCTCCTGCTGGAAAACGCGCGCGCAGCGATAGTGCGCCTCTCGGATATGGGTTCGGGCAGGGAAACTGGGCTGCTACACGCCCTCGCAGCGGATCTGGTTTGGCGAGGCGCGATGAGATGGTCAGCAGCATCGCGGGCGGGAGCATGTCTCGACATGGCGGCCAGTTGGGCTTGCCCCCACCACCGAGCTTGCCGACGCTGCCCAAGCCGTCGCCATGAATCCCGCGCGCAGTAGGCGCGTACCAGTAGTTGCACTGCTGCAACATTGTGAATATCATTGTAAATTTGGACACTCTCTTTGCGGTATCGGTATCGGTCTTATCGTGTCGCTGCGCGCTCGTTTCTCTCGTCTTGTCTAACCACCAATACCTTGTCCATGCTCGTTGCTCAAGGACCACTCCTTTCGGTACTCCATCTGCTCCCTCCACTTGTGATCTATCCCCAACCGTCGTGCAGTCATTCGACCATCGCAACCCTCCGCAACTGCCTCACACTCCGCCCCATCGCTCGTGTGCTATATCCCCATCCCGCTCCACGCTCATCGCAGCTTGTATCTTGTTTTCGCGTCGCACCACACCGCACGCATCCGTTCTCGAACCTCTATCTATCCGGCCGGCTCACGCTCCATCGCCACACTACATGATCGTGCATCCACCCACATTCTTGCTACCATGCATCTAGCTGTGGCGCGGGAGGGTTGACGCCGTGCTGCTGACCCTGTCCTATCTAGACTCTCGCCTCGCACCCATCCCAAGTACAAACACCCAGAACCACACACAAACATCTCTTCGACCTCCCTCATCGTGTACAATCTTTCTCGATTTCGAATCAGGATTACAGGATGATACTCCTTGCTTCCCGGACCTCTCCCCTGTACCTGTGTTCTACTCCCCACCCTCGTCTGTCTATCGCGTCTTGTTCATATCATCTCACTCTCACCACACATTTGTCGAAAAAAGAAGTACATGTCGCAATACCTATCTCTGCTCCTCACTCTCGCGCTCCAAAGTCTTGGACTCTTGGACCGCGGTCCAAGTCCTTCTCGCACGCGGTACGCATGCAGGGTCCCTGGTCCGGCGCCTTCGTGATAACACAGGCCGCAATGCGCGTTCTCGCGCCTGTATGAGCGGATCTCGCAGAATTGTGTGAAGTACCGTACGGTACGGGCTCACTGATACGACCGTCGGACGTCCCGGCGTTGGACTGGATGCAGAGCATGAGGCTGGCGGAGATGGATCATGTCAGGCGCGTGGTGTGCGGCGGGCAGAAGCCCGAGCGGGAGTGGCTGGTGGAGGTATCACCGTGCATATTGAAGGTGCGGTACCGGGCGGCGCGCTCGGACCGTGCTCGGTCGTTGTTCGAGCGCGCCGCACAGGCCCGCTCAACGTTCGAAGTCAATTTTTCGAAGAGGCCAGGCTCGAGCAGCTGGTCAGGCTACTCGATGTGCATATGCGTCGCGGACGCTCTTCGGGCGCGTGAGGCGCGTCTACGACACACGTAAATCGTGTGACAGCTGCCACTCTCACCGTCGTACGGGATCCTCGCCCGCGACGCTCGCGTCGTCTTCCTATCCGATTTGAGTTAGGTTCACGACCCTGCAGTGAACCTTCGCGTGAAGTCAAACGGACTGCGTACGGACTTAGCCGTCGTATTAGTGTACGTGTACGTATACTATCTGAGCGCGGACGCCCGTACGAACGCGTATCATCTCCAGTTGTGGCGCTTCGTCGGCGCGTTGTTCGGTGCGAGGCGTGAGCGTGACTGCGGGGATTAGATCGGCGAGGAGTCGAAGGCTTTCTGAGCCTTGGCTGCCTTGGTGTGAGCGTAGTCAAGACGTCGATATGGGCGTGCCGAAGGTTATGAGACGGTGTATGGAGGCCTAGAGATGATCAGCGGTGCCGCATCCTATGGGCGCTCCGTGTACTAACAACAGATTTAATTGAGGCTGAAGCGAGGATCGTCCCGTATACCGTCGGTATCGGTATTGCCGATGCCTACCGATGCGCGAGTCCTTGTACATATGCACACGGCCAATTGACGTGTTGCCGGATTGGCAGCTGAAGAGAGCGGCCAGCTTCAATGTGCTTTCCATGTTTCTCCGCGTAAGATCGTTTGTCGCCTCGCACTTGCCTTGCATATTGTACAACATGACGGATTCATAGAGCGCGCACAGGGAAAAGCCGGCACCGCTGCGCCGAAAGCTGGTTGAGCGCGGGAGCTCGAAGGAGGTGTGGCGCGCGCTAGCCGAATGCGGCAGTCGCGTTGCCTCTTCTGCGCAAGTTGCGAGACGGATGCCAGCGACGAGTGGAGAAGGACAAGAGCGCTGCTTAGCAGTCAAGGCAATGCTTGCTCTCGACTATCATCTCTGTCTCTAGACGCAATAGGTAGACTGAGTCGATCCTTTTCGCTGTTTATCGATCTGAGTATCTCAACGTTAGACATGGTTGTGCTTGTACCAGGCGCCCCGCCTCTGCTGTTCTCGGGATCTGGTAAGCCGCGAGCACTCTGGGATCCAAATGAGATCAGCATAAATGACACTCACAGCATGCTTCAGTCCGAGCGTCGACATCAATACTCTCAACGCATGGGGTAAGAAACTCGTCTACAGAACCGCGCGTCGAGACACAATCGACGCATACATGCAGCTCGACACGGCGGGTGTATTGCGCTAGACCTTCCCGAACGTAGCACAGCCGACTACTATTTCATGTGCGGGCCCAAAGATCCGTGGATGTCAATGTATGCGCATATATAACCTCCGTCTTGAGTTTATCGCTTACCCAGCGACAGATTGGGTGACAAGGGCCTTGTGGTGAGCCTTAACCGTCAAACCTATCCTCAAAGCGCTGAGAGCATACATACGGCACGAAACAGATCTTCGACGCGGAATGGATTGAGCGTGCTGTTGCAGAGCAATTCCGCATACCGATGCGCGCCTACGTATTGGATGGTGGGTATATGCGCCTCTATTACCTCTTCGTACCTGAACTGGCGGTAGATACGCTTTCCCTACCTTCTGTGCCGCAAGAGATGGAAGCCGAGCGAGTCTCGGAGTTCGCCGCGCACACTGTACCTGCTCAGCATACCGCGGTCCCCGCCACGCCATTCGTTCCTTGCGACGCGACTCCAAGCCCTCCACGAGCACCCAAAAAGCGACGCGTCGAAGATTTTCAAGACGTAGACTCTCCGTTACATCCCGTCCGCCCGCGTAAGCGAGCGCGCGTGGATGATGAAGAGACTCGCGAGCAGTCTCCCATGACGCCAGCGCGTCCGACGTCAGAGGGAAGAGGGGCGGGCCGCCCGCGGGATTCGGAAGACTCGACCTTCTCGCTCGACAGCGTTCTCGGCTTTGGTACCCCTTCGGAGGCCTCGCCAGCGGATAAGGAGGTGGTTCGCAGGCCTAAGTCGGTCGACCTTAGCAAGCTTGCGAGGCGCGCTGGGCGGGCGTCGGGTCGCCTCGCGCGCACGGTTTTCTCGCCATTCAGGTTTGCCTCAAGCAAGCCCGAGAGTGGTGACCGCAACGACCTGCGCGCTCCGAGATGCTCTTCTCCTGTGTCACTGGATCAACGCGAATACAGTCAAAGGTCACCAGAGGCGGCAATGGCGACGCCGCCACCAGCGTCAATCGCCTCGAACCCAGCAACTCCGGAACGTCTCGGCCTCCATCTCGTCGCTTCCGCGCAGACGTCGCCACAAACAGATTCATCCAGGTTCGATGATGTCCAGTCGACAGCGCCCGCGCCCGCCTGGACCTCCCCTGTGCAAACCCGTGCTGTGTCTAGGTTTCCGCGCGACGTTGAGGGTGTGCTCGCTGCACTGGAAGATGTCTCCATCCGCGATGTGTGCGCCCATGAGCACGGGAAGATGCATCGAGGTTCCATGCTTACTCTGGGAATGCGCGCGGGCGTCAGGCTTTGATCTAACGGTACTCGCCTGTAGTAGCATACGAGTCTGCATGGACCTTCGTGGACCATTTTCTGCAAGTACGAGGATCTGCGCCCGTGGAGGGACTAGATCCCCGCGGAAGGATCGATATTAGGATCGATACATACTCGTCCTAGCATCAAGCTTCGCCGTAGCATCCAGCTATGCGTTCTGGACCCGTGGGGTAGAATTGCGATGCATTGTAACGAAAGCCCGGTCTGGACAAGGTCGGTGCCCAGGCTCTCTCCGTCATGTCCTTTATACAGAGAACACCGCCCGCGGCCGCGCGCCCTCCCCCTCGATGCTTCCCGCACCGTATCCGATGCTGCTCACCCTCACTCTGCACCCCGACCCGCAGCCAGCGCGCATTCAGGCCGCCGTTGGCGGCCGCCGCGCGCCTACCACTTCCACCCGGAGGCGCGGCCCGAGAGGCTTCTGGGCCACTCGCAAGCCGGCCGCCGCCTGTGCAATTCAGCATAACCGCAAGAAAAAGCGTACACACGAGGCTGCATTCGACGAGGCCGACTCAGACCAAACGCTCTTCGACGACGACGACGACAACATCGCACTGGCGTGCCGTCAATCAGATACAGTGGCGCTCGGCTCCACCACACACCACCACATCCTGAAGCGCCGCAAGACGTCCGCGTGCGGCCTGGTGGTCCCGTACGAGGCGTGCGCGGAGCCGCCTTTGTACTCTACTGTACCACCTCCCCCGTACGAGGTGCAGGTAGAGCCGGCGCCGGTACGGCAGACAATGGACGCCTTGCTCGCGGATGTGGCGGCCAAGACCGACAAACGTGAATGCGATCTCACAGACTGGCAGATTCTGAAAGATCTGTGTGCCGAGGCGAACGAACGCTACGAACGTATGTGTCGATCTCTCCATGGTGTCGCCATGTACTCGCCGTACTGACTGCCAAATTCTGAGTAGGCGATGAGCTGGCATCTGCAGCCGAGCTGCTGAACGCCGTGCTGTCTGAGTGTAAACGCGTGCTGTCGATTCTACCAGACCCATCGCTACTCTTCGAGCCCGAAAGGCAGCAGCCTTACGACTTCATCACGCCAACCCAGGAGCGCCTCTACCCTTTCCGTGACTGGACGCTATCCCACTCAGATCTGCGCACTTCCCCCAACAGTTCTTCCGCGAGCTCACCCCAAGCTTCGTCGCCGGAACTCCCGACGGCATTCCACGCGCTACTCGGTACCGCCCTCTTTCTTCTCGGAAATATAATCGATCGCGATGCCGATGTCGTGCACTCGCAGTCGGCGCAGCACGAGCCATTGCAGCCGGCCATCGCGTACTGGCTTGCTGCTCTCGATGTGTTCGAAACGGCCGAGAATCTCCCTGCAGTGACGGACCGCGCCAAAGACTCAGAGAAAGAGGACTGGCGCATGGCGCTTGTCTGGGGTCGCACCCTCGTCTCTCTGGCTCGAGCGCAACTAGTACTCACACGGGAAGACACCTCCGCCCGATTGCCTGTAGGCGACCCGCGCTTGCCACAGAGCGTCGCACGAGGCTCAATTTTCACTATCATCGCTGCTATGCGGCCACCTGTCACACGTCGGACTTCACTTGCCCGGGCGGACGCCGCCGAGCTTCTGGTTCTCGCACAAGACCACTTCATGCGCGGTATACTGCATATGCCACATCCGCAAGCCGCCGACGCACCCGCCATTCCCGGCCCAACTCACGAGCAGACCGACCCTAATTTCTCGCGCGCACACGAGCTCTGTGCAGTGGGAATGGAGATGCTTAGCACTGCAGAGCGCTTGAGGGTGCCTGCCGAGCGTGCATACTGGGCCCGTCAGGCGGACTTTCATCTCGAACAGATGCGGGTGAAGAAGAGGGGCGCAGACGAAAGCGAAGAAGTCAATCTCGGTCTTGCGCGACGGATTCAGCGGGCAGAAGCGGCGAGAGGGCGCTGTTGGCTCATTGTCGGCCGAGTGTATGCGGCAGGTTCACTTGTCGGAGAGGCGGGCGGACTTGAAACGCGAGATGCGAAGAAGGCGCGGGACGCATTAGGCAAGGCTATCTCGTTTTTCGAGCAAGCTACTGGTCCCGACGGCACCGAAGTGCAACCTCTGGTGTGTATGATCTTCTGTCGTGACTTGATGCTTCTTCTCACATCTATCCAGTATACCGAGGCCCTCCTCTCGCTTGCCAGCTTGACACAAGATGAAGGGACACGTGAAGGACTCTATGCGCGCGTCGCGCTGGGGACCTCTCAACGATCTACTGAGCCCGATGGCATGAATGTAGATGGTCCCTAAGGCCTCGATCGTTTCTCGTTTATGTATACTTGTACCCGCGGTCAGCGCCCTCACCCCGAAAGCTCTACGCCATATGCCACGCCTCTAGCCGCACTCTCAACGCCAAACCTAGACTCCATTCATATTCGCACATCTGTATACTTTCATCTGGGATCTCAACTGCTATCTGTATCACCTGCTCAACCACCTGTTACCCTAGGATCCGCCCGTGCTCATACCTGGGCTCCACTATCTCCATCGGTTTATCTTGCATTAGGTCTTCGCACGCACTATCTTACTCTATCTTGATCTTTGGCACACGAGTATCACGCTCCTCATACCGGGCTTCTGACTTTGCACCGTTGTCGCTAAAAGTATTTCCCGGCTCAGTAGCTTTATCACCATAGACTAGGAAAGATGCGCGCGTTCTTGTACCTCTACATACACTCCTCCTTGGTCTACACAATGTCATTTATTGGTGAAACGGCGGTACGATCGCATGTCATCCACACAACACCAATAGGAAGTATCGAAAATGAACGGATACGCCCACTCAAGTACTCGCCTTACGAGAAAACAAGGCGCCAGACTTGGCCGGAGAGCGACGGCAAGATCTGAGATCTGAGATCTAACCGTAAACCCTGCCCCAACGATCGTGGACTCCCCCAACAGAGGTTGTAGAATATCTCTCAAATAGGTAGGTCATACATAACGATTGTACACCAATAGCTCGCCCAAAGAGACAACAACAAGTACAGCCCAACAAGTATACAATCAGCACCGCGCGCCGGCGATGCGTTTTGATCCAAACACTGAGTACAGTCCTACGCATCTTTCCTATACGCACGCACTGCGACCCATCAGCACACCCGAGTAAGGTCCATCGTGATCATCAATGTCTCCATCGAAGATATTCGACACGTCGCCGGTGGTGCAGAGATCGGAGGTGTTGTCCTGGCCGGGGCATGATTCCCAATCTCCATTGTCCTGGATGTGGATCTCGCCGGACGGGTGGTGGTAGCCAAGGCCCCTTCCAGGAAGGATGGGTACATAATCCTCCTGCAGCAAATTGACGTATGTCAGCACGAGCGTATGAGATGATCATCCAGGCAAGTGCCGAGACGAACCTTGTTGTTAATGTGCGTAACGCTTTGAGTGCTGTCGAGGTAGTCTGCCCAGTCCTGGTTGCCGACACGGGGGAGACCAAACCCAATCATTTTAATCGACGTCGACGAGGGCAGGTTCACTTTGAGATAGACAGCGTCGATGAGCGCGATCGCGGCACCGAGGGAGTGGCCCGTGACGGTCACAATGTTTGTGCCGTAGGTCGACTGGCCCTTTTTCACAGCAGCGAGGACAGCAGTCGCGGTGTCGGCTTGCGCATCCTGAAAGCCGTCGTGTACGCTCACACCGCTGGGTACGCCAGGGAATAGAGTTGAATCAAGCGCTGACCGGACGGCTTCACCGTCGGACAGTATTGATGTCCTTCCTTCTGTTTCAGAAAGAGAGTTGAGCGACGACCATGCAAATGCAACTCACAGGGAACTGGTGTTAGTGCCTTCGTGGGATACAACGATAGAGTCCAGTGTCTTGTCATAGCCGACAAACCCTTTGAAGCCTCCGTGTAAGAAGAGATACGGGGTGTACAGCTACGAATAAACGCACAATTTTGGACATCTGATCCGTCGCCGCCGGAAGCAATGACTTGGAAGCCGGAGTTGGCATTGCATTGTGCTACAGATCCGAACATGTTAGCCAAAGCAACGATCGAGGAAGGGCGATAATCACGTACATCCACAGGACCAGTTGGGGAACGTGCTTGAGGGACAGTACGCAGCGGCCGCGTAGTAGGCATAGGGCGTATACGAGGCGATTTGAGAAGCAGAGATTGCGCTCTGCCTCTTCAATGGTGTCGCCACAGCGCCAGATCCGAGCGCAAGGAGAGAAGCAAATAGGATGGGTATCATGATCGCTCAGGAAAAGGTATACAAAAGGAAGGAAGAGAAAAGGACGGGGCGCCAGCGAACCCGGAGGCAACTGGGGCTGTAACACGAGGGTTTCGAGTATCGAGGCATCCGCCTTTTGAACATCGCGAGCGGCTGACCGAAAGGGTTGGCGGGCAATGCGTGGCGGTGAACGGTACCCATGTCGAGCATGGAAGATGCTGTCAGAACGGAGGAGATCGTGGCTAAACGCAAGCGACCACACAGATCGCGAAGAAGAGCACATTGATGGATCATTCGGCGAATTCGATTTCCACGAGGTTCTTGTTCTCGGAAGCACGGATGCGTTCACGTTCGCAGTGCGATCCTGTATCAGGAACGTGCACGCGCTAGTGAAGTGCTATCGGAGGGACGCTGTGTACTGATGACATGCCGTCAAGCATATGGCCTACGACATGTATAGGTGGTCTACACAAGCACCATCAGAGCCGAGTTCTTTATGGGTTACCCTTGCGCGATTAGTCCATATGCATTCCGCCGTTGACCGATATCTACAGGGCTTTGAGTACAGCGCGCTTGTGGAAGAGAGATGTTCCCTACCGTCTGCCCCGTGATGTACCCAGCGCGCTCGCTTGCAAGGAAGGCAGCCAGCTCCGCCACTTCCTCAGGCGTACCCACGCGACCCGCCGGTATCATGTCGACGAACTACACCGCCGGATGACCCATAAGTGCCCAAAGACACACAAGGCTCAACGATGCACCGACCTTGTCAAAGTTTCCTCTCATGTTAGAGTCTTTGGACGCGTGTTCCGCCAGATCTGCCACTGATTCCAGGTGATGAAGGCGGTCAGCACGAAAGATGAGACGATGCTGCACATGAACATACACATTGGCGTATCAACTGCATTGGGAGCGTAGCAGTTCACGGTGATCTTATGCCTGGCCAGTTCTACCGCTGGATTGCAGGGTTACATATGCTCATCATAAGGAAGTTGAAGGTAACGAACGTACCCGCCGACTGAGTGATACCCCGTACAGCGAACTTGCTCGCAGTGTACGACAGCATGCCAGGTGTGCCTATGCATATGCAGTCAGCATACAATTACTGCTGGAAGCGCCGACACGCCGTGCCCACCGATCTTGCTGGCGATAGAGGCTGCTCCTGCGGTGATATAAGCAATTGGCAGAGCTTGTAGGCTATGTGGGTATTTACCAAGTATTCTTCCGCCTCGTCCTTGTTTGATCATCTCAATTGCGGCGTACTTGTAGCATAAGAGTACCCCTGTGACATTTACGGACATCACGCGATCAAAGTTTTCGAGTGTCCCTATACCACTCGTCAGGGCAGGCCGGAGTAATACATAGTACAAAGATACAGACCATCTACAAGTCTGTCAGGGACTGCAATTCCTGCATTTGCCACCATGATGTCCAATCCGCCTAGATTAGATACCGTGGCTTGTACTGCATTCTTCACGTCCTCTTCATTCGCAACGTCGGCACATATGGCCACAGACGAGCGACCGAGTGTTTCGATTTCTTGGCGGAGTTCATCCAAAGGGTCCTGTCAGATACGGTCAGCATCTGCCAACAAGTCGGACGAAATGACGATCGTACCGATCCAAGTTGACTAGCCGTAGCTGCGGATAGCGGTAAATCCAATATAGCGACATTACATCCGTCTCGAGCGAGCTTTAGAGCAATGGCGCGGCCGATGCCACGACGTGCACCGGTGACTACAGCTGTTCGCGTCAGGGTTCCGCCGGGAGTACTCATCAGGCCTGTGGCAAGTGAGAAGGTCTCTGCGATGATTCTTGAGGGACGAAGGACTTCTTAAATAGCCACTCTGTCCTGCCTCCACCTTCTATGGTCAGAAGCCTGGGAAGGTGATGGACCTGAAAACCGCCTCGTATGGTATCTCGGGCTCCAAGGATTAAACAGTAGTAGGCGGTAGCGCGAACCAGATGTTGTTCACGACAGTGCATCAATCCGATGCGCATGGAGTAGCAGGACGCTTATGTTCATAGATCCAACCACTGTATCACGCGTGCGCGTTCTCGTGCTGCTCGGACACCGAGGCCGATAACAGGATGTCCTAGTCTGATCTGACGCCGCAAGCTGGCCACAAGATTGAAGACAGATGACAAGAAGGCTGACTATCCAGTGCATTGCGAGACCTCGTCGTTGGCAGTCGGAAGAAATGGTGCATGTAATAGGGGAGGAACGCAGAGGGAATAATATTTCTAAGCCTCGTATTGATTCAGATATGCGCAGTAACCGCGGGAGATATACAGCACGCGAGATCGTCTTCAATTATTTTGAGCTTGCCACAAGGACGTCTACCAGATGGTATATATGCGGCCCCACGGCGCACCCGACGTGACAACAAGATGGTGGTTGAAGGCAACCGCTGGTGCCGCGTGCTGAGCAGTCGGTGAAGTTGCCGGATGTGTCATCATTGACCGCCGGCGCCGAACTCCGTGAGCCCGCCGCCTGCCGTGCCGAGGCGATCCCGTTTCCCATCGAGCTGCGAGACAGCGTGCTTATACCTTGCCAACTGCCATCATCGTCACCTTGTTTGGGCGCTTGTTCGTACGATGCGCCTGGCGTTGCGGGTGTTTGCTCTTGTCGCGCTCGGCAGCGCTCTGCTCGCCGCCGCCCACGAACATCACGATGAGCTTTCCGAAGAGGAGGCGAATGCACCTGTCGACGCTATACTCTGGGTTCACATTTTCCTACAAGCTGCGGTATGGGGCATCCTATTCCCCATAGGCATGGTGCTTGGATTGTCCGGGAGTAGATGGCATGTACCACTTCAGGTGGGTTGCTTACTGAGCAAAGTCGCTATGCACCGGACTGAATATGTGCTAGACAACAGGCATCGTATTGACTCTGGGAGGCTATCTCCTCGGTCACAAACACGGCGGTCGCGCATTCCTCAAATCTGTGCATGGCACCTTCGCAAACCTTGTCTTGATCCCTATACTACTCCAAGTCGCGCTTGGCATCTACCTGAAGCTCCACATTCATGAACGCACTTTGCGTCCATATGCTGTTAAAGCGCACGGCGTTGTTGGCAAAGCCTACCCGATCATTGGCTGGGTTCAGATGCTCTTTGGTGCCATCGCTTTCCGTGGTTACTGCCGAGGAGGCCATCTAGGACAGTGCCTCGCGCACTACATTATGGTACGTATGCTGTAGCTGTCGTATCAGACACGTTCTTACGTCTTCACAGGGAAGCGGTTTCGTTGCCTACGGAACCATCATCGCTATCATGTTGTTAGTTGGCGAGAACTGGGTCAGGAGAAGCGGCAAGAGCCCCGAGTGGTGGGACTCCTGGGTCATCCTGCTTTGGGGCATCGTGAATACGTTCACGGAGCACCATGGTGGCTCTTGGTCCGTCAAGGACATGCAGCACACCATCATGGGCGTTCTGTGGTGGTGCGGCGGCATCCTTGGTATCTACCTCGCGCGCAGCAACACTCGTACCGTTGTGCCATCGATCATCATCATCCTCACGGGGTGGGCTATGTCCTCGCATGCACAGGCTTTGATGATCAGCACACAGGTGCATGCCATGTTTGGATACACGCTCATGCTGGCCGGCCTTACCCGCGCGATTGAAGTCTGCTTCGTCGCTCCGCATTTCGCGCCTCTCGAGGTGGATGATGCCGGCTCGGAGCATACACTCGGCGGGGGAGAGGAGACCCCAGCGCAGTCGTCCGGACGTGCATTCAGACATCTGCCCGCCTTCCTACTGGTATGCGGTGGATTGCTCTTCATGAGCGCAACAGATGAAGAGTTGCAATATATTCATGGCACCGGCATGGATCATGTCACGTACATCTTGATAATGTTCAGGTATGTGGCGTTCCAAGTGCATATTGTATCTGTCGCTTACAAGCGTTGCTCGTAGCTTGGGCTTCCTGATCTACACCCACATCCTCTTCTGCATCAATCTCTACGCCACGTCCGGTCGTAATGCGCCCAGTATGGTTGCAGCCAAGCACAGTGCACTGGAATCACCAGGCGAGATTGAGCTCGCCGAGACGCCCATCACGACTCGCGCACCGTGGTATTCACGCGTAGCCTCACGACCAAGGGTCCAGGCGCATGATCGTACGAGCTCGAGTGCACCATTGGTCGGGCCAGCGCATGTCATAGGGGACGAGGATGATGAGGAGTGAGCGACCGGCCAGCGCTCAGCGATGTATTCTTCTCCTTTCGCTTTCCCCCGTGTCGTTTTGCTGTTGCTTCCTTGTTATTTCTCCTTGTTATAGTTTTGACACCCATATTGTATATCACTCCATCCTCGCGGAATATTTAGACAGATCTACACTCTCTGCGGTGTTTCCCCTCACAATAACGTCGCCTGCGGCTTCTTCCTCGTCGTATGCATGAGGGTATCTAATGCGGAGCTCTCTCAGACAGGCGTTTGGTATACGGACATCAGACGACCAACTCACGTACGCGCTCATCCACCACATCGACGGAGTCTCCTCTTCCCTCCTCGTTCGGAGGTCTGGCGATACGAAGGCGAATGTCTATCGTAGTCAGGTTAGTGAGGTCGAACCTCGAGTCATGGTATCTGAGCATACATTCGTGATCCGCATGTCCGAACAGATTTTGGGTGCACAAAGAGTGCTGATACTGACAGCTGACGATTGTCATTGAACGCATTGACGACAATAGACTGGAAGTTGGCGGCAAGATCTCACCAAGTGTCTTGAGAGCCGCAAGTTGACCCAAGCCATACCTATAACGCGGACGTGAGAGCATACGGAGGAGGACGAGGCGTCTTCCAGAGCGATCAGTCGAGAGCGCACCTTACTTCCGGTTGCGTTCTAGTCGTGTTTGGTGGGCCAGTCTTGTCTCCAATGAGACCTTGCCGCTAGGGCGATTCTCGACTCTGAAGTCAAGGGGCGAATGGCTGGAGGACTAGACAAGCGTCCAGTCCTTTCAACACACGGCTGGACACGTTGAACAGAGCAACGCCGCCTGGACACACTGCAGTCGTCAGTCAATGAGCACAGCTCAGCCACAGTTATATGGGGCCGTAGCCCTCATAAAAACGTAGCCCAGCCTGCCCATCAACTCTCGGACGCGCGCCGAAACACGCATATGACATCTCCGGAAGACCCATCGGAGATGCCTGCAGATACGCCCTCCGCCAGACCACACTCCCATACCAGAAGGTTTATATGGTCATGTGAACTACCATGACGGCAGGCTCACGCGCGTTAAGCGCATTCTCGTCCGGGGACGAGGAGACGATTCGTGGGTCAAGCCGACGCCAGGTGCACCCGCGCCAAACTACACCACACGCTAGGCAAGTGCCATCTAAGCACCGCCCGGACACACCACGGACCTCTTGCAGGCTCAAGTCACCGCGTCGGCGCTGAGCCATACAATGGAGGGTGACTTTCTAAGTCGACAACCAGCCACAGGTCTGCAGCGTTGGCTGGCAGAGACCCGGTCTGGTCCCGGAACGCGTCCATCGTCTTGGCTTTCGCCGAGTGGGATCTTGAGGGTGTGTAGCGTTTTGCATGAGCGCTTTATACTATTCGATAAGTGAGTATCACATGAAATGGCGTATCAGCCTGAGGATGAGTTTGGGACGGGGCCTTGGTCTACACTTGCGTTGCAACATCGTCGTCTAGACCAGATACAACACTGGACTGGTATCAATAATCAGGAGAATCGGCTGAGACAAAAGGAGTTTCCGATGTTTCAACCACCTTACTGACAGGTACAAACGGTGCAAACACTAAGCGAGTCCGGTGTACCCTCAGGGCGTTGCTCGTCGATAATCGTGGTACGCATACGGCCAGTACGAATAGCCAGCTGGACCACCCATGCGCTTGGGCTCGGGGGCCCTCAGAATTGGAAAGGCACACTCATTCCAGAGGATGTGAGGATACACCAGTCGCAAGTTCATATATATTTGGGAGCGTTGCATATCTGAGTCGATGTTGTGAAGGTATAGGGACAACCTGACGTCGCCAAGGCGGGCAAGATATCCGGTCGTGACGACGTGACGGTCACCGCATCATTCCGACGTTGATTCCGCACGAACCCGCATGAACGAGACGTGGACTACTCACGAACCGCCACCATCTTGGGCATCGTTCATCACACGATCCTGCCTCCTGGGATGGCAATTAAAAGGGTCTGCATGCTGTGTACATACATTCTATCTTGATATCGAGCGGCAGGCGCTCAACGCGGTCACATGAGCTTTCACCTCCTGCCTATGGGATATGTTGTTATGACGAATGGCGTCAGAGCACAGGCCATGGTGAAACTCCCATTGCCTTTACAAACGACTTCTTGCATCTCACATACCTCCAGATATCCGGTGCGATGCTCTCTGCATGTCAGCGCCGGACTCATACGGACGAGTGCGATGCCAATGTTCGCATTGCCGGGCCGGACCGCAAGTGCCGACCATGTACAAATGCGAACACCGCCCGTGAAGAGCGGGGTTGCCTTTTACCATCTCTACCGTATTCTTCTACTTTATTTCTCCACTTCTGCATAATGTCTGCTCAAACGTCACACGCGATCTTGGACATTCCAAAGGCTATGATTCTTCTCGCTCATGGCAAGAAATCCGGTTCGTCGGTCATATGAGATCTCATCAGTGCGTAGACTGATCCCCTAACGACTTCTACAGACGCGTTCCGCCATAGGATGCTCGCTGAGGTTGATATGGCGTGTGCCATGGGCGTGCGCGTCAGTCGTGCCGCGGACGAGATTCACTCCTTCTGTAACGTCCAAGCTCAGGCGTTTTATTATAATGATGACTCTCGGGTCTGCCTATTTTATTCCCATGATCACTGTCATTGAGTCACTGACAACGCATCAGCGCACACAACTATTGAAAGAACTGAACCCTCTCAAGAGGGTTACTGCTTCTTTGCTCAACGACGTGGCAGTGTGAGCCTGAATTCGTATGCTGAGACCCTCCGCTGATCTTAGAACAGGTACACATCGGCCGTGTATGCGCTTCACTGCTGTTATATGCTTACCCGCCACTGATGCGAATACGCTTCTCAGCTTCGATCACGCTGGCGGCAACTTCTCTCTCGAAACGCCCGCCGCGCTGTTATTTGGGACTGTATGTGGCACTTCGAAACCTTACTTCGCCTTGACTACTGACGATACTGGTATCAGCCTAGGTACCGCGACGTCAAGAAGTTTCTACCGAAGCCCTTAGTGACGCCTGACGACGAAGGTTCGCCTACAACCCTGCTCATTGTGTATTTGCCTGATCGATGTAACACCAGCCGTTCTTCGCCGCGAGAGGCTAGAGGCACAGACCAAGGCCGCCGCTCAAGGAACATCCAGCAAAGGGGCGTCTGGCTCAAAGAAGCGGCCTGCACCCGACTCAGCCGAAGATCAAGAGCCCACCAAGCGTCAGCGAAAGGATGCGCCGACATCACGTTGTTTGCGCCGCAGTGCACGCAAGCTGGTGACGGGCGCCGCTCCAGTGAAAGCCGAGCTGACAGAGATGGCTGTCGATCCGACGCCTACTCTCATTGCCCACTTCAACGAGCTCGGGGCCGCGCGCGGAGATGACTGGGAGACGCTCCTGCGATGGCATAACTTGCCCCTTCCGGCTCAGCTGAATGCTTGTATGTCGCCGTTTATGTCTTATGAGCATTGCGTTGATGTTGTGCCCCAGTCACATTCGCCGCCACTCTCGTCAAGGCATTCGCGGACATGAAGGCGGCGCGTCAAGATGACATCGAACGCTCGCTCGCTCGGACACAAGAGCTTGAGAGCGCGCTGGCGGTCGAGCGCGACGACAAGACTGCGGCCCAACGAAAGGCAGTCGAGATGGAGGCGCGAGCCGTTGAGTCGGAGAAGCGCGCGACAGAGTCCCAGAAGGACTACGAACGAGAGCGTAGCCGCCGTCAAGACGAGGAGGGCGACATGGAGTGGGTCGCCGAGCAGATTGCGCCTCTCTCTCGATTCTTGTTCAAGTGGCCACCCGCAAAGGAAGGGCCGGTCTCTGCCAGTTCTTCCCGTCGTTGAGTCATCGGCAGGGCGAGTAGACCATTCTTCCCTTCGGACTACCACACTATGTAGGTCTTTCCCCTCATCCACCCATAACCGCAAACTAGCACGCATATTCCTTTCCCTGGTCCTTAGATAGAGCGGGAGTTCCGCCCTTGTAATCATGCTACTCCTCTCGTTTCATTCAACACTTATTGTATCACCGCTCGTCGAGCATAATGCCACTGTCGTATTCTTCCAGACTTGATCTCACATGGAGCTCAACGATACGAGAGTCACGGGTCCGTCGTTCGCGCCGAAAGACGACCTAGCTGCCAATACTCGGCAGTATCGCGCGTGCAGTCGTGGCGCTACGTCAAGTTGATCCATTCGAGGACCTATTCGCGCATCCTGGCAGGGATGAACCGCCGCACTGTGACCTCGCGTACACTATAGCACTTCAACTTCTCCGGCCCATTCAAGCCTGCAAGCCGCTCACGCGAGGGTACGGTCACATACACGAGTATAAGGGTCTGATGCGGGAAGTTCGTCAGTAAGAGTAGGGTATCGGGACCAAACCAAGTACCTTCATCACTTGCGCGTTCACGCGATTGACCGTCGCAAGCCACTGCCAGCTGCACGCCTCCCCGCCCTCTCCACCCACACCAAGATTCGCGCCCGGGGTGCGCTCACGTTCATCCTCGTACGCCGGAATTAGAATGAGCGCGAACCTACATCGCGCGAGTGAGTATAACAGGGTGACGGGATGGAGGCAGATAGATGAGACGTACTCCGCATGACTGAACACTGGACCGCGTTTGTATAGCAGATAGTCCGCACAGAACTTGATACCGCTCTTGATGACCCAACCAAGCGACCGATAATGGTGAACGACGGCATAATGTAGAAGGAATGGGTTGTCCGGCGCGAAAGCTTGCTCCCGTTCTTGAAGATATGGTCTCAGGAGGAGCGAAGCTGGCGTAGGAGGTAATAGTGACTGTTGTGGGACAGCAAGAGAGATAGGCGCCGAGGCGGTTTGACAGGCGATCCAGAGTTCTGGTTTGGACATGGCTCTTCCCTGGATGTATAGCCGCTTAGAAAATGTGAAAAGACATTGGACATGGGTTGGCATACCGTTTTCGGGTCCATCACACTCAAGCAGTCGAGCGCCCAAGCCAAGAAGAACGCCTCTGAGAGCGTCAATTGTAGATGCTCCATCTCCTCGACCGGTTGCTCATCCTCATCCTCTTCCAACAGCTCCTCCTTGATGTCTTCTGGAACGTCCGTCGGTGCACCTCTCGTTGCCAAGATGGACGGCTGCGAAGGTTTCCACGTCGCGGAACTCGGAATTTGCGCCTTGCGCGCCTCGGGATCGATGACCGTTCCGTCTGCGGCGTACGCGGCCTCTGCTTGAGCGGCGACCGCTGCCATTGCTGCTGCTCGGTCCTTCTTGAACTGTGCGCGCTCAGCACGACGGGCTGCAGTGACTTGTTCTGCAGTCACTAGATGATATATGAGCACGCCAAGTAAATGAAGATATATTCAGACATGTGAATGGATGTATGTTCTCTGGATATCGTAGTTCGAAAATACACGTACATCTGCCTGCTCTTCGATCCCTCCTCTCTCCCTCGGCTCGTATACGCCAGCTCGGCTCACTCCTACTCAAATTTCCCTTTCCCCAGAACCCGCGTGTCCATAATATTCTGACGTCCCGCTCATCAGTGACCCAGACAGAGCGCGTGGCCGCGTCAAAAGTGCCAGTACAATGAGGGTTGATCACGCGCGGAGGATTGAAGAGTGAGGATAAGAAGGACTGTTTCGGCTGTGATGGTCCGGCAGTAGAGTCGTCGGTTGATGTGGTGAAAAGCAGAGGTAACGGGTTGCCGTAGACACGTTCGTTCTCGGCGCGACGCGCGCCACCTTTGCCTTTATATTTTCCCCGTTTTGGTTGAGCAATCAAGGACGCCATTGATTGGTACCAAGTAGTGATTATGAGTGCTTCGCCCAGATGATGGCAAGAAACAAGTTGTGGCGAAGAAGTCTGTTGGCCGGTCTACGAAGGTCCGATCGCGCCGAGTTTCGGAAACGCAACTTGCTTCTCACCACCACAATCGAGCGCAGGGGCAGGAGTCTCCTTCAGCCTTGCGATGCCTGTCCATGCTTCACTATGCGTACAGACTACCCTTGATTGCTGGGTTACCGGCTTCCGACGTAGGCCTTGCTTCTTGGAACGCCTCCCCTTGGAGCTATTTCTCGAGATCCTCGGTTACTTGCCATTCGAAACTAAATGCGTCAAACGGCACTGCGCCCCTTTCGATCTTCCATTAGCTGAAGATCGATCGCGTTTCCTCGACCCAGAGGCGAACGATGTGCCGCCGCGTCTGGACGCGCTCTCGGTTTGCCCTGCCAATCGACGATTTGAGAACGGATGCGAGGAATACTGTTCAAAGGAGCTGTATCCCTGGAATTGGGTCGAGGTTACCCGCGTCAGTCGCGCGTGGCGTTCAGCTTGTCTCGAGCTCCAGCAGTTCTGGACCCGCGTGCCCCTCCATACCTCGACTTTGGCTCGACATGCCATTCAACGATCGGGAGAACTCCTCTTGCAAGTTTACTTCAGCGCCCATCAATATCAAAGGCGTGGTTTAGGGGTCGCATTCAACCTGGCGGCGGATCGCATACGCGAACTGTCGATCTCATGCAGTCGTATAATTTGGCAAGATTATGCGGAAATGACGAGACTACTCGAAACATCGCATCTGCCTGCGCTACAAAGATTACACTTTTGGTCTGACCCAGATTGTGTTGCCAATCTCCAAGGCATTTTCAAAGGCCTTGTGCTCCCATCTCTCCAACATATCGAGCTGGAGGGAATGACGTTGGCCCGTTGTCCTAATCTTCTTTCGCCCACGTTGGTATATCTACAACTGTCCTTCTGCCACGACATTTGGAAGACTGCGCGAGACCTGGCGAAGACACTCAGGTCCGCTCCCTCCCTACGCGAGCTATTACTGTTCGGCGATCCCTGCTTTCCTAAAGATATGGCCAGCAACACCTACGCCCTTGTAGGAGAGCCCGTCGATCTTCACCGCCTGAGAAACTTCCGGGTCAGCGCAGACGCACGCATCGTTCTCAACCTCTTGGCGACGGTGTCCATTCCTTTCACCTCATCCGTGGGGATCACCCTACAACATACAAAACCGCTGGATTCCAACTATCGAGTTGCATTCACCGCGTTCCTGTCGAAGCAACTGAGGCCCACGGCACGAGAAATTCATTCATTCACACATACACGCGTCCAGATCGAACGGCATAACAGCCCTGAAGGGAAACTTGGTCATTGGATACTAATCCAAATGGGTTGGGGCCCCTTCGGTTCTGCACAACCGTTAGGATCGCCTCCATACTTCACTATCCAGCATACGTGGAACGGCGCTGAAGAGCTGACGCAAGGGATAGCGCAAGATGTGCACTCTCTCATGGATACGTACATGCCCGTTTTACCCTGCTCGAGCGTTGAGAGCCTCACTATCGAGCCCTGGGTGTACTCATCCTACGTCAATATCCTCGGTGGTAGTGACGCGTTCCTCCTCGAGAACCTTGTCCACTTCGCGAATATCCGACATCTCGTACTAGCCTTGGACATCGAGGACATTCTCATCTGGCTTTTGCGCGATACGCAGTCCGAGCCATGCTCTGATTCGTCGTCAGAGCTGATCTTCCCTGCATTGCAGACTCTGGAGATCCAAAACTCATGCATCCAAGCTGCCTCGGCCGATAGGCTGAGATCGTATATTCATCGACGCCGAAATGTCTTCGGCAGGCCATGCACCGTCACGCTTATGGACTGCTTTACACTCGATGGGGAAGAAGGAGAACGCGATTTCATCATGAACCTCCGTTCAAGGGTCCCGGAAGTGCAGTTTATGAATAACGTCGGCCACACGTACCCCGATCTCGACGCGCCTTTGTCAGGTGTTCCGGATAGATGGTTCATGTAGGTTCGCGCAAGTACGGTTCCGTTCATGTGATCTCTACATCTACATGTCTACAAGACATCGCAATACAGTTGTTTCCTGCGCGCGATGACATAGTTTGAACGTACAGACAAATGCGGGTTCATAATGTGTACTCCAAGCAATATGCCGCGTGAAATATCCGCGGTCGTCTCGTTCGTCCTGCGAGCATAGGCACGACGTGTTGACTGGACAGACCGTATGACAGTCTTTCTGCGTGCGCTTGAGGTGAATTACGCGTGATGAGCAAAATTGTCGCTTTCATTACCAACTGCCAGAACCGTGGATTGAACACGGGACCTCCAGAAAGCCTTTTAAACTTCAGTCTGTTGCTCTCCCAGCTGAGCTATTCCGGCCATGCAACGTAATTACTTATTAAGGATCAGTGCTTTCGCCATGCCAATGTCTGCGAAGAGAAACATATCCACATCAGAGAAATCGCTCGGGTATACATCGTAAAGCATATACTCAATCTCTCCCCTGCTCAAGCTCACCTCCCTCTCGTACCACCGCTCAGACTTCCCCCTCCAACCCCATTCGTCAGTCCTGCTTCTTCTGGCGGAGCGGCGAGACCAGCAAGCGTCTTCTGCAAGTCTGCCCACTCTGTCTCGCGCGGAAGCGCCATGTCTCCAATATCATATACAATGAGTTTGCCTGTACGTGTGCATGAGTAAGGGTGATAGCCGATCGTAGAATGAGGGTACCCTCTGAGCCACCGACGGCGCAGCGCCGACCGTCTTTTGCATCCCAGCGGAGCTTGTTCAATGCGCGGGGTGAAGCAGGCGTTGATACGACGGGCACCTGAGATACTCATGAGCACCCGAAGCGACCAAGAAACTTGAATAGAGTATTCGCTCACCTCCGTATCCGCATTCAAGTTCCACACATCGAATCTCCCGCTCCCGTCTACAGCGCCGAACACAGCCGGATGCGCAGGGTGCCACCTCACATCGTACACGTAGTCGTCCGCTTCGTCAAAGCTGTAGAGCGGAGGCACGCTGTTCTCGCCCTTCGCCTTGCCCAAACCACCGCTCGCGCCAACACTCCCTCCGTTGACCTGGGTGTTCTGCGATGGCGCGGTAGCTGTCCTGCCCTGGGCCCGCCAAAGCTTCACCGTCCAGTCCGCCGACGCAGTTAGGAAGAGATCGCCAAAGTCAACCGGGCCGGTTGCAGGGTGGAAGTGTAAGCCGAATACGGGCGCGCCGTGTGCACGGTAGACGTCTGCGGCCGAGAGACCGGCTTTGAACCCCGCACGGTCGTGTCGGTGGGCGTGGTAGACTGCGCCTTCTTCTGTGCCGACGAAGAAAGCGCCGTGTTCGGCATCGGGGAAAGCCAAGCTCGTGATGGCGACTTCGCCCGTCTTTGAGTGTCCTGTATGGACTAGCTCAAGGGACTCTTGAGGTTGTGCGAGCATGTCGACTAGCCACGAGCATACAAGTCCATCCGTAGACGCCGAGATAAGATTGTGCGCGTTTTGACTGCCGATGACAGATAACGCGTATACAGGATGCGTATGGCCCGCAGCACCAAGCGGCGTTTTGAGCACAGGCAGATGCCTCGCCCTCGTATCCCACAGCAAGATCTGCCCAGCATACGTTCCACCAAATATCAAATTGGGGTGGAAAGGGCTGAACGTAGCGCTTAGCACGTCGCTCTGGCTCTGAAACACAAACTCCGGTCTAGCAAGTAGATGCGCATTCCATACGCAGACCAGACCGTCCGGCTCGTTCAGAGCGCCCGCGTTCTTGTTGTACGCCGCGGCGGTAAGCTCCGGGTACTTTGGGCTCCAGTCCAAGTCAGTGATGGATCGGTTCTTCAATAAGCGCTCGTCCCAAAACGCCGCGACGCGTTTGACGCGTCCTGCTCCGTCGCCCGCATCGTCCGAAGGCGCACCAAGGGTATAATCCGTGATATAGTCGTAACCGTCGTTAAGCGCGCGTTGGACGATCTTGCTGCTTTGTTCGACAAAGTCCAAGAATTCCGGCGCGGAAACGATGTGCGCTCGCTCGTCGTCGCTCAATTCGCGTATCGCTGCCGCGATCTCGGCGTCTAGTGCGATACTCTCCGCTTCCAGTGCAGCGTCCTCGTCCATCATTTGTGACTTCGCATGAATATCATCGAGAGAAGGCCCGGGCAGGGTAGATGTGCCCACTCCGCCTGCGTCATGTTGATCGTCGTCGTCGTCGAACGCGGCAGTTTGGATTTCTTTGTTGTATAGCACCCTTTCCCGAACCGGTAGTTCGAACAGCTCCTGCTCGACTTCGATCAAATCCACGCTCGCGCGCGTCCCAACATCGCTCTCCGCCGTGCCGATCCCCGTACCCAGCGCGCTGCCCGTCCCGACGAGTGTGCTGCCTCCCGCATCACTTGTCCGTCCTCCCGCGCCAAATCCCAACCCAAGTCCGCTCACGCGGCCACCACGCGCAGGTGTACCGGGCATGCTGCCAGGTGGTGTACTCCCAGCCGGCGTACGTGCGCCACTTGCACCCCCTTCCGGACCCAATATTCCCTCTAGGATAGCGTTTACATCCGTACGCCGTGGGTCTGTTGCGTTGAGACTGGGAGAAGATGGTGTTCCAGCGCCAGATCGTCGTTCAAGGGCCTGGGCTTGGCGTTCGACGCGTTGGGCACGCAAGGCATCTAGCCGAGCGCGTTTGGCGGCAATTTCGAGCCTACGTTGCTCGGACATTGCCAAATACAAAGATGAGGAAGGTGGCAGGTAGAAGGAAAGTCACGCTAGCGCGCTGAGGCCGAAGAGCCACACCGTCGGTTGGAGATCAGCGCGCCGCCCGCGCACGCGTCTTGCTTCGAACGCCCATCACCGAATCACTTATGGTGGAGCCTGCGTTTTCGCATGTACCCAACTCCTAGACTTGCTCTACTCGCCAAGAAGGAATAGTCTCGATCATTACTACCCATACACGCGCGACAATGATACACTACCTCGACTCGATATCGTACACCTTGTGGCTTGAAATTAGCTCCCTCTGCCGCCCTATCCTATCTGATAACCAACTTTCATTAAGACTCAAACTCTATTCGATGCCTCAGCTTAAGCAAGCCGCTAGGCATAGTATGATAAGGCACCCACCGAAGTCTGGACGAAGCTGCAATAGTGGCATGATTCGCCCAGGGGAGACGAGTATTATGCCCATCAGGATAACATCATAGATGCTGATCCATCCAGGTTCTGTCCCGATCTTGTATCGACTATCGTCCCACTGTGTACGGCCAACATTCTTGCGCTCGTATTCCTGTCAGAGATAAATGTCACTCTTGATCACGATTCGAGAAGGCATATGACATACAACCATCGCGTTTGCAACGGCTCCGCATACCAGGCTCGCCAACCGGCGGGACGTTATGAACCCCTCAGGCTTCGACCGATCTTGCATCTGGATCTGCTTGTCCAACCTCCCGTATTAGTTACACCACTTTATTGTCATAAGCTGATCATGTAATTGACAATGACAAGATACAACTTGCATGGAACGCGACCTTCAAAGACGTCCCTTTGGGTTTGATGTGGGTAGTATTATCGGGGAACGACTCGAAGCTGGTCGCCGTGATCGGTATTCCAAGAGGTCCGTCCCGTTGCCAGAACCACAAGGGTAGCATATTGGTATCGTCTAGCGTTTTGTTTAAGCGGTCCACCTGAGAGGGAAAGGGAACGACGATTGTGGCTGGTATCACACGCGTCGACAAATCCTCCGTGAGCCGTACGTCGAGAATTCGCCAGCTCTCCACCGACGGTCGCTGGCTCAAGCCTATACATCCCTCTCCGTCGAAAGAGAGAACAGTCATGCCGTGATCCGGGACACCATGCAGGAATATCGCGTCCTCTAGGCTCCAGTAAAATCGGTCCACAAAGTCATCCATAGACACATGCTCGAGACTGAGCTTCGCCTGCTGCGTCATGAGCCACCGTAGAGCACGATCGCAAGCAACACCTCTGCCGAATGTCTGGCTGATGATAGTAGGACCAGAATAGAGCAGAGAGATGTGAAGGAGAGCGCGCAACATGGACGAATCCGCCATCGCAAAAGGACGGGAGAAGGGCAGAGAAAGCAGGTACATGAGAATCGTACAGCCAGCTCTTATAGCGCCATGCCACGAGGAGTTACAGGCCACTTTGATTCGACACTTGATTCTTGCAAGAGAATGAGGAGGAGAGTCATAGTTGTTGCCGTTCAGATGCGGTTGGTTGAAGTCCGATCGCCACTAGATGATCGTGCTGACTGCGACTACGCTTGATGAAGGGCTCACGCCGGCCCTTTGAGATTCAATAAAAATGAGACGAACTCCATAGAGACGACGACGAAGGTCACTGTAGGAGGAGAGCGAGACCACTAGCACGACAGACAGGACGGAGTGTCGGTCGAAGCCTGGAAGGAGCTTCAAGTTGGCGGCGATGAACTCCTAGACCCATGCTTCGGGTGACGCAAGATGCTTACTCACATACTTATGATTACTTGTCGGAAGCTTTCTTCAAGCATGCAGTGCATCCGAGTTCTTCGCGCAGCTGCGCTTTGGGTGCTGTCTGTACTTACTGTCTCGCAAACGCTTCTCGCCCCTGCCAGCTACTCACATCATACTCGTTTCCTGTACGACTGTAGGGCAAAGACAGTACTGCTAGACATAGTAGGCACTCATCGGAACTTGCCGCTGAGGGCAATCAGAATAGTATTCGCATACAGTCTCATATATTGACGCTAAGACTGAGACATATATGTGCAAGATGTCTTTCAAGCGCTCAGAAAGAGCACAGGTTTTCAAGGCGAAACATGTACTTTTGAGCGGCACACAGACGCTGTCTATTGCGATTACCATCGACGTGGTGGTCAGAGTTGAGTTGAGAACAAGAGACCGCGCGGCGCAGCGCGGCGCGTGCGAACATGATGCTCGCAGATGGCGGCCGCGACAAAAGGCGCGCACCTTGCGCGGCGAAGTTGACAGCGAACGGCCGTGTCTCTCCCTCGGTCATTGGGAGTCCACTAGTAGAGGCGACGAGAAAAATACCTAGCGAAACCTCAGAGATACTCCTACGAGAGTCCCCCTTCTTGAATCTACGAATTTTCGTCCTGTGACGTTGCACCTCTGCCGTCCGGATAGATGGCGACTGTCGACCCGCTGCAAGCGCTTCAAGCCGCGCTCGCGCAACCCGCCAACTCTTTCGAGCAGGCGCAGCTGCTGGAGGCCCTGCGCGAGGCGCTCGAAGCGCGTCCGCAGCCTCTACCAATATTATGCGCTACTCTATTGGGAACTGTGGCGGCTGGCGTCGAGGACTCGCTCCTCAAGCGCTTCGTACTGGACCTCATACACTTCGGCATTGCAAGGGCGAATCTATCGCTGGACCAGCGTACACAGTGTACGCAAATGGAAACAATATTTTGTTGAATTATCAGACTGACGCATGTGAGCAGTGGCGGCGCAGAGCCTAGACACGCTCGCAGGCTTACTGGTGGATCCCAGCCCGCGAATTGTAAAAGTGGTGGTGCAGACATTCGCGGGAATATACCCGATACTCTTTATGTCCTTGTACGTTCGAGGTTCTTGTTCCCCCGGGCGCAACATCTGACGCGCCACATGCAGATGCCAGAACCGCAACGCGCGCCCGCAATGGGAAGTCCTGAACGGTGCCAAAGCACGGATCCTCAACTTCGTATGGACAACGCAACCTGTGGCGGCGGGTGTCCGGCTCGCGGCCATCAAGTTCATGCAGCGCGTCATACTTGTTCAGACGCGCGGAGCGGCTGATCCCAGAGTGCGTCCGGTTCAGATGTCATCATATGTACATAGAATATTGAATACATTTGTTTCATCCCCTACAGCTGCAGAACAAGAACGATCCGAATCTGTCTATGTGTCCTGTGGATCACCCATACATCCCGGTTCAGCAGCTCGAGGCGGAGGGCACGCGACTGCTCGAGACCGTCCTCACGATGCTCTACACCTCCAGTAACGCCGACATTGTGACCGCCCTTATCAACTCATGGGCGCCCCTTGTCCGTCTCCGGCCGACTCATATCCAGCTCGTCGTAACATCTCTCACCTCCTGGCGGCCCAACGCCTTCACGAACCAGTCGTTCACCACCGTCAAGTCCGTCGAGAAAGCCGTGCGGATATTCCTCGTCCACATCAGTCACCTCGGTTCAGCCGTCGCACCTTTCAACCCTGAGATACGACAAGCCATCGCGGAGATTGATGCGAGGATTGAGAAGGGCGCACAGGAGGAGAGGGCGAGGAGAGCGGCGCTAAAGAGGCCCGCGTCAAGCACTGCTGTTGAACCGCAGCCCGAGAAGAGGCAGAAGTTAGACAATGGCGCCGCGATGCAGTCGCAGGCTGGTCAGGCGTTCAGCTTCTCGGCCTTACCGGCTCCGCTTGTTACTGAGCTTATCGTCGCGAACCTACAAGCGTTCAGCGAGGTCGAGCTGCAAGATCTTGTTCGGGCCTACAAGCCCGCCGTGGCGCCTGCTGCTGTTGCTGCTGTTGCTACACCACAGCCTACGCCACCGCCACCACCTGTGGCGGCTAAACCGGCCGCTCTCCCTCCATCTGCTCCTGCTGCGGAACGTAAGAAAGCGAGTGAGGCTGCTGCAAAGGCGAGGGCGAAGGCTGCAGAGATCACCGCTGCTGCCCCGCGCCCTACGTCCACGCAGCCTGTAGTAGCGGCAGCGGTGGGAGAGGTCGCCGCTGAGCAGGGTGCGGATAAGGCAGCGGTGAAGGAGGAGCCTGTGGATCCGTTAAAGATGGACATTGACGATGAGGTTGAGGAGGAGGCGCCTAGTGCTCCTGCAGAGGAGGCCGCGCCAGAGCAGGAGGACGAGGAGGCGGCTGCAGCCGTTCCCATGGATCTCAAAGCCTTATTATCGCTTGACCTACGCGCGCCGCCACCGCGTCCGCTCGCGGACACTGAGAAAGCCGATCTGGTGAAGGGTAGCGTCGTGCGGATACAAGACGCCGCGAAGGATGTGACGGGTGTGGGTGCGGAGGAGGACGGCGTCGAGCTGTGGATGATGCTCGTCGTCAGAATGGTCACACGGGGCGCAGAGCCGAGTCGATGTTGGGACAATAAAGGCAAGGCGAAAGGCGAGGGTGAAGATGGAGAGGGAGAGAAGGTGAAGGAGGGTGAAGAGGAGGTACTGGATCTGGCGGAGCGGTATGAGCAGCAGGACCAACTACGCGCAAATCTTTATGAATATATCATGGCGGATTTTGCTGGGCGGATGAAACTCGCTACTATGTGGATGAATGAAGAGTGGTATAGCGACCAGTTAGCCGCAGAGAAGAACTCGGGTCCTGAATTGGTGCGTATCACGACGCGTCTCACATCCACACCTATACTGACGAGTGCGGTCACATATAGCGACATAATTACGATACATGGTTATCACACATCGTCGCTGCATATCTCGGCAAGCTCTCAGGCAAAGACCGTACCTTCGGTCGTTTTCTCCTCGACCTCCCCTCCGTCCCACCCGACGTCTTCCAACTCCTCCGCGATCTCTGTATCACGCCGCAGAAGATGGAGGTCGGATTTTTGACCCTGCGCGATTTCGTGAATGATAGGCCGACACTACGAGCGGAGGCAATGAACATCTTGTTGGAGTTGACGACGCATGCAGAGAAGGCCACGAGGGCAGCCGCGATCATCACGCTCAAGCGATGGGTTGGGGACGTTCAACCTATGGATGGAATGGTTAGGGACTTCGCGTTGCAGCTTCTGAGAAGATTGCAGTCGAAGCCCGCTGGTGCCGGGGAAGGCGGTGTCGAGAAAGCGGAAAAAGAGGAGGAGGGAGACAAGATGGTCGTCGACGGAGAGACGAACGGAGTGCGCGAGCGCCTGCGGACAAGCGAAAGTGACGCCGTAGTCAATGACGAAGGGGTAGCTGTCACGAATGGCAAAGACGTAGCCGTGGCGAATGGCGAGGCGGACGGTAGCGATGCGGACGAGAATATGGAAGATGGTCAATTACCTCAGGAGCCGCAGGAGGAGATATTGACGACACCGTATCTCTCCGACGAGCTCGAGTTGCCAGCGAAGAAAGAGGTCGTGCTGCAACATATTGAGCTCCTGCTGGCATTATCGACCAAGGTACCCGCGTTCCTGGAGGAGTACGTAACTACAATTCATCTCGTCTACCTTTACTGATGACCCGTTCTAGGTTGTTCGCTGCATACGGCGAGATGGACGTTAGCGTTCAAGAGGCCATTCAAGAACTCATTACGCAACTCATGAAGACGCTCGGGCCCACACACTCCAAACTACTCGCCCTCTTGCGGGACTTCCCACCGGGTGCCGATACCCTCGTATTGCGCGTGCTCAACATCTTCACCGAGTCCGGCCGTCCTCCGCCACCCCTCGTCGCCACTGTTAAGGAGATGGTAGCGCAGCGCGACTTGGATGCGCGCTTCATCATGCCTGTTGTCGCTGAGCTCGATAAGGCCGACATCACCAAGAACCTACCGAGGATCGTGGCAATGCTTAACGGGACACCAGAAAGGAGACAAATGGTCAAGAACGTGTTCAGCGCGATCGTTGTCAGCGCGCCGGAGAAGGGCTTCAGCTCGAGCAATACGCCGAGGATGAGACAGAGCGAGCTGTTGACGCCTGCGGAATTGATGGTCTTCCTGCACACGGAGAGCTTGGTACCGTTGAAGCCTGCGATAGAGGGTGAGTGTCACCTTTTCTCTCGCTGTGCTCGCGATACTGATGATGTTTGTTATGAAGCGATCGGTATCTGCTTTAGCATGTCGGAGGTCTACCGAAGCGAGGTTCTCGCCGCGGTGATGCAACAGATCGTGGACGAGCCCGTCCTTCCGACGCTGTTCATGCGCACTGTCATCCAGGCTGTCACGACGTACAAGTCCCTCGTTGGGTTCGTGTCCACCACGCTGCTCTCACGCCTCATCACGAAGAAGATCTGGATGAGCCCGCCGTTGTGGGAAGGTTTCGGGCGCTGTGCCAAGGCTATCCAACCACACAGCTTTAACGCGCTGTTGCAGCTACCGAAGGAACAGCTGAGAGAGCTTGCGAATGAGAAGCAGCCGGGGCTGAAGACTGGGTTGAGAGAGTTCGTGTTGAGACGGGCGGGAGGGAACCGAGCAAGGGTGGCTGCTTTCTTGGAGATTCTTGGGGAGGACGAGGCACCGCAGAGCAACGGAGCAGTCGGTACGGGAGCGGCTCAGACTGAACCAGCGCCCTCAAACTCGCCCACGATGCCGCCACCGCCTCCGAACCCGATGGTTACAGAGGCTTAGGGTATTTACTTTCCGGTTTGGGGCATGGATTCGTGCGCTAGTAATATAACATTGATCTCATCTTGTACCATCTTTCTACTTTACTTGATGTTTGAAACAGCCAATGCAATGTTTGACTTCAGTCAGAAGTGTGTGATACTGTTGGACACCGCAAGTTAGCCGAAGTGACGCAAGATCAGCGTCGCCACAACCCCCGCGTGAGGAAGATGAACATAGCAAGCACGGCCTTCGAAGCGGCGGCCAATCCGCACGTAACTTGCCTTCTGCTCTCACCACTCGCCCGCTCTTGATTATACCCAGTGTCCGCAGTAGGCATCCGCGCGACCGACTATTCTCAGACTTTGATCACAGTTGCGAAGCCCGGCGGGCGGGCATCGTTGACTGACTGACGGCGCTCGGTACGTGCCTTGCTTCCGAGCCGTGTCCGGTGTGGCTTTTGCCTAATCTCGACATTAGACTATTTGGCGCGCGCCTCATGGCGGAACACATATACTCGAAGGGGACGCCGATCTGGTACGAGGATAAGGAGCATGGATGGGTGGCGGGCCAGGTCGTGGAGTCGGTGGTGGACGGGAAACAGGTCACCCTCACGCTTTCGAATGAACGACCGGCGGGCAAGAACGTTGTGATTCGCGCCACACTCGATGAAGTCTCCGACAACTCTAGCAAGCTACCGCCTCTACGGAATGCAAGTTCATTTGACGATACAGACGACCTGGCTACGCTTCCTCATCTGAACGAGCCCTCCAGTGCGTACGTCAGCCATTGCACTCCCACTAGATTCTGATCGAACATCTGAATGTAGTATTGCATGTCGTCGAGAAGAGATACGCCCAACGAAAGATATACACCTATAGTGGCATCGTGCTTGTCGCTGTCAACCCTTTCACGGACGTGCCGATTTATGGTCCCGAAGTCATCCAAGAGTATGCTGGGCGGACTCGCGAGAACCTCGAACCGCATCTGTTCTCGATAGCCGAGGAGACCTACACGGCAATGAGACATACGCGAAGATCTCAGACTGTCATCATCTCGGGTGAGAGGTGAGTGCATGCGCGAGTCCATTCCGGCATTCATGCTGACGCGCCGTAGTGGTGCAGGAAAGACTGAGTCTGCGAAGTACATCATGCGATATCTTGCCAGTGTAACGCCAACATCGGAGGGCTCTGAAAGCCCCACAGCCAGCTCAAGCTCAGTCGAGCGACAGATCTTGGCCACCAACCCCATTCTCGAAGCTTTTGGCAATGCCAAGACCACGCGGAACGACAATTCATCTCGCTTCGGGAAGTACATTCAGATCCTATTCGACGGCGGGCACACCATCGTCGGCGCGCGAATACGAACGTATCTTCTCGAACGAGCGCGTATCTCGTACCAGCAGCGGGGCGAGCGCAACTACCACATCTTCTACCAGCTTTGCGCCGGTGCATCGGCCAAGGAACGGAGTGCAATTTCACTCGACCGGCCAGCTTCTGAGTTTGCCTATCTGGCCTACTCTGACTCTCCGGACAAGGACGAGGCGGCCAGCTTTGCTGCGACCAAGCGCGCTCTGAGTACTGTAGGCATTGACGCAGCGCAGCAGATGCGCATCTTCAAACTACTCGCTGGCCTCTTACATCTTGGAGACATCACGATTCGCCAACACCGTGACAATCCCGACGCTATCATGGACGAACGAGATGCATCGTTGATCACCTCGATGGAGTTGCTTGGTATCGATCTGAAGGAGTTCCGCAAGTGGACAACAACGAAGCACTTCGCCGCTCGCGGGGAGAACATCCGGTCGAACCGTCCTGCAGGACAAGCGCGCGGCGTGCGAGATGGTGTCGCGAAGTTCATATACTCCTGCTTATTCGATTGGCTTGTGGCGCAAGTCAACTCAAGCTTGAGTAGCGACAGCGCGTCGTTCAGGGAGCAAACGTTCATCGCAGTTTTGGATATCTACGGGTTTGAGCACTTCGAGACGGTATGTTTGATACGTATCTCAATCATTGCCGTCTGGTTGATAGACTCCGTGCAGAACTCGTTCGAGCAATTCTGCATCAACTACGCCAACGAGAAGCTGCAACAACAGTTCACGTCGCACGTCTTCAAGATTCAGCAAACAGAGTACGCGAGCGAGGACATCGATTGGCAAACCATCGACTTCTCCGACAACCAGCCCACGATCGACCTGATTGAAGGCCGTCTAGGTCTTCTAGCAATCCTCGACGAAGAGTCGCGCCTTGCAGCGGGCACAGACGCAACGTTCATCGAGAAGCTGAACTGGCAGCTGCTCAACTCCGGCCCATCCGCGAAGGCGCGCAACGAGCGTATATTCAAGAACACGCCTGATAGCTTCACGATTGCGCACTATGCGCACAGTGTAGAGTATGATGTGGATGGATTCTTGGAGAAGAACAGGGGAACGGTACCGGATGAGCACATGGACTTGCTCTTGGCCAGCAAAAACGACTTCTTGAGGGAGATCGTTGAGGCGAGCGCCGTGGGGAAAGCCGCGAATGCACCCGCTTCGCTGTCTACGCCTGCTCCCGGTGGTCCTACGTCGCGACCTACGACGCCCACCAATCGGCCTACAACGCCGTCAAATGGACGTATGACGCCCAGTACAAACCGTCTTAGGCCCATGACTCCTTCCTCCGCCAATGTGAACGTCCGCGGACACGTCCGGAATCTCACCGCCAACACCGTCGCATCGCCCTTCCCCACCGGAAAAACGCAGACAACCTCTCGCAAGCCGACACAATGCAGCATCTTCAAGACTTCGCTCAGAACGTTGATGGATACGCTCGCTCAGACGGACATACACTATATCAGGTGTATGAAGCCGAACGAGGGGAAGGAGCCCTGGGTACTTGAGAGGGGGTTGGTGTTGGATCAGTTGAGGGCTTGCGGAGTGTTGGAGACAGTCAGGATCAGTACTTCGGGTTATCCCAGTCGATGGTCATACGAGGAGTTCGCGCAACGGTGAGCTTCGTCTGTTTCGCTGACGGAGTCACTCAGCTGATACACGAACAGATATGCAGTCCTCCTTCCGAAGGAGGAAGCTGAAGTTCTGCTGAAGAAACGAGACCCGAAGCTCACATCCGTTGCCGTGTTGACGCGGTTCGTCTTGGACACGACCAAGTATCGCCTTGGTAGGACAAAGGTACGTCAACTGCTCTCAGTGATGAAACTGTGCTCATCGTGAGCGGACCAGGTCTTCTTCCGTGTTCGAGTACTTGCTATCCTGGAAGGTTTGCGACACGAGGTCGAAGTTCGCGCTGCCATCACGCTTCAATGCGCATGGCGTAGTACCGTTGCGCGTCATGAACTCGCCTGGCTGCGCGAAGAGAAGGAAGAGCAAGAACGCTTGGAACACGAACGTCTGGAACAAGAGCGCCTGGAACAGGAGCGTCTACAGGAAGAGACACGGCAGGCCGAAGAGCAGAAGCGGAGAGTACGAGACAGTGATGTGATGTCCTCACACTACGACGTCGACGCTCTCTCGCTCAAACTCGACGTCGCATCAATGCGCGATCTCCCGGCGATTCCTGACTCCCCTACTCTCACGCCTCAACTGCCACCCTCACCCCGTTCGGCGCGAACAGCGCGGCCTTCTGGGTCGGCCTCTACATCACCACGGACGCCGATGAAGAAACAGATTTCGACCGTATCGTTAGGTTCTGCGGGCAAGCAGCTTTCGACCTCGCCACCAGCGTTCGGGTATCAGCAAGCCACGCAGAGCAGCGCGAGGAAACATATTCTTATTGCCGAGGAGAGGGAAGATAGGGAACGTGGACGGGAGAATCTGAGAGTTGACTCGCGGGCGGCTGATCGTGGGATTTCGACTGAGAGGCCGAAGAGCAGAGCTACAAGTCGAGCTAAGAGTCGCGATCCACCGCGGACGCAACAGGAGCGAGCCAGGAGTCGAGATCCCAAAGAGAAAGAGAAGCATCAGGGCGGGAACGCCTTGACGAGGCTTATGGGACGCTCGGATGGAGCGGAGAAGGGGAAGAAGAAAGAGAGAGATGGGCGGGAGACGCCATCCGGGAAGGAGAAGCCGAGGATGTTTGGTGGAAGGGGCTGGAGGTTAGGGAAGAGTTCAGGCAAGACAAGTGCAGAGTTGCCGAGAGAGCAGGAGAGGCAGAGCGTTGGAGAGGATGCACAACCTCCTGTACCACCTAAGCCGCCAGTGAAGGAAGACGCACCGCTCGTATGTTCGCTTCTGATTCACCAGACTTCCGCCACTAACCTTCGCCCACAGCCGATCTACGCTAAGTTCACGAGCACTCAAAGGCCGACGCCTTGGTATCTCGAAGCTCAGGCATAATCATTCCCCTCTTCTGCCTTCGAATGTGCTCTATTGGATTCGGCATCATTTGTATCATGGATCATACCCTCACGCATGTTTTCGTTATGTTTATCGACCTGCATATCGTTATCTCCCTAGGCGCTTGACCTCGTCCGGGTGCACGGAGTGCGCTCCTAGTCCAAGACTTGATTCACAGCCTGCGTACAGGTCGCTCTGGGCATCCTATATTAACCGTTAGCCAAGCTCAACCCAAAAATAAGATTAAACCCTGCGACGCGATGTGTGCCGCCGGCAATCAAAGCCGCGTTCACACACCCTTGTCATTTTTATGGGAAATGTGGCGCTCGCCCTTTGTCTCCGACGTTCATACCAGTCCACCTGTCAATCTCCGCATGCGTATCTGCAGTTACACACTACACCATAGGCTACACGCTGCAAGCATTGTCAATGGCATTGGCCAAGGAGAACCTTTCTAGATTGTCAGGAATGTCGTTCCGTGACGAGGCTCGCTGCGCTCGACAATTCCGTCTCAAGCTCACCCCGTACAACCTGCGCGCAGTCCATCAACGTCGATGATGTATCCTGGTACAGCAATCCCAGCATAATATCAGGTCTAGACGATCCCGCTATCGATGGAGTCGTCGACAAGATCGTGGTCTGGAGTGCCGGATACGACAACCCCGAAGGGCGCCTACTTGCACAAGCGATGTAATGTGTCGATCCTCACCAGCCGACTTCAAACCCGGAGCATTGATTGGCCTGTTTCTGTTAGAGTTGCAATAGCCTTTGCCACGGCTGGGTGGCGCTACGCTCGTGGCGGGTTACTCTTGTCATGCCGCCCCGGCTACTAGACGACATGTTCCTTCAGCGCCCCTGCAGATCGACGGTCTTCCCGTATCCTCTCCATGACTACGTACTCACAGCGTAAAACTCATTCAACTGGTCCAAGTTAAACTCCATTTCATTTCGGTCGTCCCGGCGCTTCCAGATCCGGTCTGAGTCTGGCGTTGCTCTGCACAATCCATGTAACGCTCTTGGTCGACGTCCAAGATCTCAAGCACGACCTACGCTGGATGTCTGGCATTGGTGTATTCTTCTGCGAAAGGCTCATGCGCGGGATGTCAATGTGTCACCTCTGTGGGCCGTCAACCACGGGACTACAAGCGTATCCTCCTCAAACAGGGACCGCTATACGTCGCTCGTCGGGCTTGTGCTCCCTGAAGGATGTCCAACTTCAATAGCTGGAGTGTACACTTCATATCGCTGATTCTTCAGGTATAAAACCACGATGCTCTTCTGTCCACTAAGGCCACACACTCCATCGACTCGATCTCATTGGCAAGAGCCCATCCCGACCACCTAAACCTGAAGAAACGATGAACACTTCGGTCAGTCATACCCAGTGTACTCGTACTCGTACTCACACCATGCACAGTCACACCATGCACAGCCCAATGAGCACCTGGTTGTTGGCTTTATTGCTAACTCCTTTGGGCCCGAGAATGCTAGTAAAATATTCGATAAGTTCATAAGAAGCCCGGGAAGCCAAGACCACCAACGTCCTCCGGCGCACATACTGCAGTACACGGACGGAACATATCGTTCTAACTCACGCCCTGATATTGTTCTCGATTACCCCAACGACGGGAAGGGCACCATCGTGCCACAGGGCATGTGGCAACCCATGCAGAACGGAGACGTTGCCCGCCACGTCCGAGATGCCACGTTATTGTTCCCTATCTTCTTCATCAACCTCAACTACACGATAGGTGTCGAGCTGGCGCAGATTGTCAATGCTCGCCCTGGCACACCTGTCAATATCTATCGCGCGAACGAGCTTGTGCCTCTCGGGAATCTGGCTACGACCCACCTCTGTCTCAAGGTCTGTGCAACGATCACATTCTCGGTACTCCCTCACTCACATGTATCAATCATGACATTCAGTGGCCGGGTTATGCGCAGGGTTACCGTAAGCAGGTCGAAATCAAGGATGCCAATAAGGTGCCGATCACGATGTCAAAACTGGTTGAACGCATCGCCAGCTTTGTCTCGCGGTTCATCGACGTGTGTTTCTGTCGCTCTCATGCTGTATCACTACTCAACTGCTGCTGCGTAGGAGGCCTCTGGATGGCCGATTGACCCGAGGAGCGCTCATTGGCGTGTTGGTCGAGGATTTATTACCAAGGACAATTTGTACGTGGTAGGGCTGGTTCACGTTTCGGCTGGCTGCTGGCAACCTGGTGCGTTCCCGACTCGTTCGCCCCCGACGTCGGTGTAGCCATTGAAACGGGTATACAGTGATCCAGCTCAAGGGCGTAAACTATCTCTGAGCGCTCCGCGTATCCACGACTCGCTCATGGCTCCCCAAGCTTCATGCTTCAAGCCGCTTCGACTTCTCCCTGTAGCAGTAGCACTAGATTCGGTAGAGTATATATTATCTGAAGTCTAAATATTGTCTCTTCTGCATCACGTCTCTCGTTCTCGTTACACTGGCGATTGTCAAGACTGAATCACATACACGAGTCTCGTCCGTAAACTACAACACATACACCCCTATCCACGTCAATTGCACGACACCTATTGTATTCAAGCGCCCGACCCGTACCGGCGGCGTCGGACAGTCTTGATAAGCACATCTAGGAACCAAGTACTGGCGTCTGTTTTCGGCCGTAGTCCCCAACCTTATCGGAACCGAGAGCGTGAACGCTAGCAAGTTCAGGGATGAAAAGAAGATGTCAAAACTCAAGTACTCAATACTCAATGCCCGAGCGCGCTCTTCGAATGAGCGCCATCGGCCCTGGACGTGCTTATGCTTGTGGATGGATCGTTGGACGGGTGGCATTGCGAGTACGTACCCGTCTTTGTCGAGGATACCTGTCCGCGCATCCAAAAGAGCAGGCTGAGTTTCATGCATATTGGGGAGTGGGCGGGAAGGGGGTGTCGCAGGGCAAGTGGCAGTAAAAGCGCGTGGGGTTAACGGTGGTGGCAGGGTAGTTTGTACACATAGAGAACAGCGTAAAGCAAAAGCATAATGCACACGGAACCCGAAGAAAGGAATAAGCACGTAAGTAAGCAGAAAGTGGGAAGCATCAGGAATTCGTAGGTACTACACTGGTAGACGTGGATATGAATTGAGGGAATGCGTTCAATTCAATGATGCCAATACAGCTTCGCATTCAAGCGGCCTTAACACCGCGACCGGCAGCCATATTCTCCTTCGCCTGTTTGCAAGGATCAGCACGGAGTCCAACCACCGAGAGAGAGCTGTACGTACACGCAGAATTGCCTCCCGTCGCTCCGCCCACTCCGGTGTGGCGCTGTACATATCTTGTACCAGCGCCTCCACGAGTGTAATGTAGTTCTCATTCGAAAATCTCCAATTAACCTTGTCCGCGAGCTCGAGGGTCATGGAGCCGGTACTAGCTGTGCTAGTTGGCCGATGCTTCAACTCAGGCCGCTGTTCGACCTTGACAGCGGCTGGTGCTCGGATTGACAATGCGCGAGATACTACTGGCGCAGACGATGGTGCACGGACTGAAGCTGGACGGGACGGGGCAGCGGACGCTGCGGGAGACGCTGAGCGCGTCGAAGAACCTGACAGGAACACTGAGGGCGTGGAACGTTGTGATGCAACGGAAGGTGGACGTGAGGCCGATGTGGGCTGTGCAGACGCTGCTGCGGATGTGCGAGAGCGGTACGACTCCGCCAATCGGGAGGCTGCCGTCGATGAGCCGGATGTTGATGTGCGTGCAGAGGCAGCAGAGCTACCCGAAGACGCAGAAGATCGTGTCGAGAAATGAATTGACGTTGGGGCTACTGGCGGTGCGGCCGGTTGCGGGGAGACAGTGGACTGGCGAGATGCACTGGTATGATGAGAAGCGATGGAATGGTGAGACGTTATCGTTTGACGCGACGCCGCTGACTGGTGGGAAGCAGTCGATCGG